CATTTTTATACATTATATATACGTTATTAAACTAGTGTTATTTTACTGTACATCAGAAAATTTTTTGGGGTGCAGATCTGCGCAGATTTTTAGAAATTATTTCTGTGCAGATCTTATACCCTGGCGCAAAACATTAGAGGAAAAATCCAATAAAAAACTGCACAGATTTTATAAATAACAAAGTTCTGCGCAGATTTTTAAATAAAAGACCTTTGAAATACCTCAGCAATTTTTTTCAGTAAAAATCTGCGTCACAATAATACAAATTAATTTATTGCATTAATTACTAATTTATTTATATNGTAAAAATCTGCGTCACAATAATACAAATTAATTTATTGCATTAATTACTAATTTATTTATATAATCAAAATTACTTTTTTATTATATATTAACATGTTTACAAATACAATTGAAATCTATTACTAGTCATTGCTATTCATTATCTCTTTACTGTTGTTAATGGTTTAGAATATTATTCCAGTTGATTCGATTTCAACAAACAACGAAAACTTACAAATGAAAAAAAATTTCAAAGCAAGTAGCTTCAAAATATATAATCTAGCAATCCAGAATCTAAACATAAAAGAAACGATCATTAGTATAACAATCATTAAAAAATAGAACTTTAAAGCATTTACCTTTGAAGTTCTTAAATACTGCAAAGTTTTTCATAATGGGAAACTGTAACTAAATATACATGGCCTGGTAAATTATCAGCCAAAAATGTAATTCGTAATTTGAAATATGTAAATAATTACGTAATTCGTAATTAATTATGTATAACGTAAATAATTACGTTAATCGTAATTATTAATGTCTTCGTAATTAGTCAAAAGTACCTGTAAATAATTACATTTAACGTAATTACCATAAATACTATTGGTAATTAATCACATTATATGTGAAAATGCAAGAAAAAATGCTGAAACTGATAGTTCGGCAGTTTTACATGTAAAAATGAAAAGAAAATTGCCGAAACTGATCGTTCTGGCAGTTTTACATGTAAAAACGAAAAGAAAATCACCAAAACTGATAGTTTCGGCGTTTTACATGTAATAATAAAAAGAAGACTGTTGCTAACTTTCTCTCCGGGTGAAGATCACCTAGAGTGATTTCACCTAGGTGATTTCACTCACGATTAATTTATTAAATTTATTAAATTTGATTGGTATAAATTAATATTTCTCACTTCGTAATTTGCATATAAATCCTCTGCAAAAGAAATTTTTTGATTGCTAAATTTTTAAATATATAATAAACAATGCTTAAAATATTTTCGCACTAAAAGTTTATAGCAATTTATTAATTTTTAATAGATTACATGAATCATTGATTGAAAAAAACAAACTCATACTATCCAAAATACTAGATTTTTTGATAGGAATAACAAAAAAAATGAGTCACAACGATAAAGAAAAGAGAATATGTGAATAAAAAAAGGAAAAAAAATGAGGGTGAATGGGAATGAAAGAAACAAAGGGGGATTGAAGGAGGAACGAAATGGAGCAAAGGGGGAGTGAAAAAAATGAAAGGGCGAAAAAGATCAAGTGGGAATGAAAAAAAATGAAAAAATGAAGGAGAGACGAGATGGAGCAAAGGGGGAATAAAAAGAATAAAGGGTAGTGTAAAGGAATAAAAAAGATGAAGCGGGAATGGAATAAAACAAAAGGAATGAAGGGTAGTGTAAAGGAACGAAAGAGACAAAGTGGAACAAAAAAAATGAAAAGAACGCAGAGAAAATAAAGAACAACGGAAAAAACAAAGGAAGGGAAAAATAAAAAAGCAAAAAAAATGAAGAGACGAAAAAGAACAAAAAATGGAAAAGGAACGAAAATGAGATAAACAGGGGACCAAGTAAAAACCAAACCCATAAAATAAAAGAAGAAATAAAGTTAGTAGGGAACAGAAATTATATGTAATAAATAAATGAAAACAAAAAAATAAAAACATACCTTAGTAGTTGCAGAGAAAAACCGAAAGATCTAAAAAGAGTGAAATACAAAATGTAAGAAACGAAATATAAGAATGAAATAAAAAATAAGAAACGGCCTAGTGCTGGACATATATACCTTAATTGCAAAGCCGAAAGAGCTAAAGGACCTAAAAAAATGAAATAAAGTTAGTAGGAAACAAAATGCAAGAAGCAAATAAAAAAAAAAGAAAAAAAACGTACCTTGAGTGCCGTGCAAAGGAGCGAAAGGCCTAAAGAAAAAAAAGATTATACGAGTACGTTTAAAAAAAAACAAACATAAGAAATGATCAGCACATTAATTAGCCAATAAAATTTAAATGAGGTGATATCACCGGGTAAATTATATAAAAATATATAAAATTATCAGGTTAAATCACCCTAGGTGAAAAATTGCTAAATCACCCCAGATGAAAATTAGTTATAATCTAAAAAGAAAATCGCCGAAACTGATAGTTCTGGCATTCTTCTTGTAGAAATAAAAAAAATCACCAAAACTGATAGTTTTAGCGTTTTACTAGTAGAAATGCAAAAAAAACACCGAAACTGATAGTTCTGGCATTTTTTACTAGTAAAAATGCAAAAAAAATGCTGAAACTGATAGTTCTGGTGTTTTTACTAGTAAAAATGCAAAAAAATGCTGAAATTGATAGTTCGGCAGTTTTACATGTAAAAATGAAAAGAAAATTGCCAAAACTGATCGTTCTGGCAGGTTTACATGTAAAAGTGAAAAGAAAATCACCAAAACTGATAGTTTTGGCGTTTTACATGTAATAATAAACAGAAAATCGCCGAAACTGATAGTTCTGGCATTCTTCTTGTAGAAATAAAAAAAATCACCGAAATTGATAGTTTCAGCGTTTTACTAGTAGAAATGCAAAAAAAACGCCAAAACTGATAGTTCTGGCATTTTTTACTAGTAGAAATGCAAAAAAAATGCTGAAACTGATAGTTCCAGTGTTTTTACTAGTAAAAATGCATAAAAATGCTGAAACTGATAGTTCCAGCATTTTTGCTTGTAAAATGCAAAAAAATGCCAGAACCATCAGTTCTGGCGTTTTTACTAGTAGAAATGCAAAAAAAATGCTGGAACTTATGGTTCCAGCGTTTTTACTAGTAGAAATGTAAAAAAATGCCAAAACTAATAGTTCTGGTAGTTTTACTAGTAAAAATGAAAAAAAAACACTGAAACTGATGGTTCTGACGTTTTTACTAGTAAAAATGCAAAAAAATACCAAAACTGATAGTTTCAGCATTTTTACTTGTAAAATGCAAAAAAAACGCCAGAACTATTCACAGGTCAAAAAACGATCTATCTCACACATATCGGGTACCTATATATCGGTGACTAATTAGGTACATATCGGGCATTTTTACATATTAACAACATATCAGGTACCCGATTTGTTACATAATGCGCAAATTTCAAATATGGTTAAAAAAATGTAAATTACCAAGTGTCCGATATCCAAACTATTAGTCACCGATCTGTTATCTAATATATATCGGTCACTGATATTTGTACGATCTTTAAAAAAATTTGTGTGTTTATTTAATATTATCGTAGTGCGGCCAGAGAATACCTAAACTTCAAACCCGTTATCAAAAGCATATACAAATTATTCAAATTACCGCGATTTTCTGAAATCCACTTATTGTAATTAAATTTCTCATGGCAAAAAAATAAATACGTTCCCCTTTTTTTCTTTGTAAACTATTACACTGAATTTGCAAAATGACGTATAAGGTGTATTGTACTATTACCATATTAGGAATCTTTCCATATAGCCAGGATACCTGAAAAAAATAAATTTTAAGGAGATATTTTTTTTATCCAAATCGTAATAAAATTGTAATACAAACTAATTCTATATAAATGACGGATTTTATTTCTCCAACATCTTTAGTTCGATCGTTACTGATAAGGGTGATTATTGGTATCTTTGATTCTAGCGATCACTTCTGATGGAAGTTTGATAACCGGAGGCGATCGATTCAGTCATATTGAATTTGAATCCTATCTTTCAATTTAATTAATCTTTAAAGAGATACGTAAGCCAAAATGCCTGCGCTGATCCCTGTCCTTTTGGAGTTTATAGGGTGACAATGAAGATCGGCTATTGTCCAAGTATACTTTTTATTGATTAATTTCTTTGAGAGACGTTTTCGTCAATGTGCTTTGTACGATAACAATGTTGCCTCTATAATTCCGGGCTGGATTAGAGGAAAAAGTCCTGATTGCACCTCACCCATTTTGTAGTCAGGCACAGTCTGAAACTTCTGTTTGTAAACTTTTATTTCCATACCAACTGCGTGGGTTTAGGGTATATTTTATTCCCTAACCCTTAGACCTACTTGTTAGGTTAAGTAGGTTGCATTGCACTCTGTAGCCTACCTTTTTAATGAGTTTTATGGCCACGTTTGCTCATTTAAAAATGAATTAAACAGGTTGCAATATCATTAAACACATCGCAGCCATTTGGTGATGAAGCTATAATTGTCTAATAAGGGTTCGCCCTGTCTGGCAATTTATGGTGGATTCAAATGGATCAAATTACAAACAATAATAATTTAGTCAAATGAAAATTCCAGGAAAGAACGAGGATGCTTTGTCTAATTGAAAATATTTTTTTTATTTTATTTTATTTTTTATATTTTTATTTTTATTTTATTTTATTTTTTTATTTTTTATTTTTCTATTTGAGATTATTCATCGTATCCTATGTTCATTCATATCTGGTATTTTCAAATATACTTATCCTTATTATCATAGCAAGTTTCTTAAAGCGTACCTGTGGCACATCATCTGACTTGGGAAGTGTCGCTGAATCTAAAGCAAGGTACCAGGTTAATCCTCAACTTTGGGTTATGAGTTATAATTTAAGCATATAGTAATTTAATTTGACTTACATACCAAAAACAAAAATTTGTGTATATTTTCATTTTAATTTTTTTGAAAAAATAATATTATCGTATTTAGCTAATTAATCTAATTTATCGTATGTTAATATAGAAAATTTTATTAATCAGTTTTTGATATCTTATTAAATACCTTATCAGTAATTAAATTGTTACTGTAATAAAGTAATCAGTACCGTAACTTGTTTATTAATAAAAAATAAACTGTAATCTATAGCTTTATCAAACCATGATATTTTTAATTTAATCAATCAATTTTTAAAAAAATTAAATGAAAATGTTTGAATTCTGATTTTTATTAAAGTCTGATTAGTATTTTTGACGATAAACCTATTTAGGCAAAAGTGTAATAATTGTAAAATTTATTTTTTTGATTTTTTATTTTTTGATTTAGATTTATTTTTCTTTTTTTTCCTTTTCTTGTTATTTTTGTTATTTACGACGTTATTATCAACATCATCATCAGCACTATTGTTGTCTTGAATGATGCTTTCATCAGTATCATAATCATAAACCAGGATATTTTTGGTTAAACGGTTAAATTTTTCAAGTGCTTCTCTATTCAAACACCAGCTTGGTGCGCTGGCAGGTGGCACACTAGCTGTTTCTGTTTTGTCTAGAACTCTTTTACATTTTAAGTTTGGTGGTTTTTTTCTTAATAACTCTACCGTTAGATCAATACAATAATGTAATAAAAGTTAAAACTTAAATAAAGAAATTAAACTATAAATTAGTGTTTATACTTTGATAAAAAATAATAAAATATACATACAGCAGGAGATCTCCACCATCTTTCATAAATATATATCGAATTTTTTTTTGTGACTACTTCTTCTTCATCATTTTCATCATCTTCATCATCTTCGTCAGTTTCCTCCCATTCTTCAGAATGGTAGCCTGAATCTTTTAAAATTTGAACTAGATCCTTTTCAGGATATCGGCAAATGTACTTATCTTTGTTTTGTATTAGGTAATTAGCCACGTTTATTATTCTTTTTTTTTTCTAACAATGTTAATTATAAAGCACAATATAATTAATTTAAAAAAAAAACTAAATTTAATAGCTTCTGTTAATTAAATAATTTACATCCTGCATCCTTGAATTCTTCATTGCTCTTCTTTTGTTACGTTTTATTTGAGTTTCCCCTTACTTTCTAATATTACTAACGTGATGGTGAGATCGCCAACATCCATATAACATCTTTAATAAATCACTATTTGAGACTTTATATTTTTTATTTATGAGTTTGTAAAGTGGTGGAAGCAACTTGGTGACTATGTTATCTTTTTGCTTAGCCCATGTGAGCTCATAGTTAATACTGTATACGTCTTTTAGCTAGGAGTCGCTCCAAATAAACACTTCTTTCTGTAAAATAATAGATAAATGTAAATAGGATAAAAGCAGAAATAATATATAAAATAATCAAATACTTGCTTTTATCGTGTTATAACTAGAACTTTTAGAAAAGGAAGAAGAAGAAGAGGAGGAGGAGGAGAAGGAAGAGGATGATGATGATGATGATTCATCACTAGATAATACATTATCACTATTCATTATTACGAAGTATAAAATCTTTTTGTTATTTTGTAAAATAAAAAAATCCCGTATAAAGTAGAGATTTCAGAACACGAGAAAAGTTGTTTGTATGCAAATTTATAATGATTTCGGAGATTTCAGGATGCAGATCAAGAGCTCAGAGGTAGCAACGCGTTTGCGCAATTCTCACCAGGTAAAAGTAACGAGCTCATAAAATTCTTGTGCAATTCTTATGTATGATAAGAATTATTAAAAGCTCATTTATGAACGTCTTGATTACTAACTATTAAAAGTAATAGAATAAAAAATATAATTTATACATTTTAATAAAAATGAGTAATAAAAAATGTAACTCTGTATCTGGATTAATAAAGAGTAATAAAAAAAGTAAAGTTGAAACCTCTGAAACCTTTGTGGCTAATTTAATAAAGCCCAAAAAAAAGTATTTGTATATTTGCAATTGTGCTCGTTGCAAAGGTGCAGAAGTTGATTCTCGCACTCAAGAGAAACATACGTATGATGATAGTTTATGGGAATCGAGATCAAAAGATTCTAGAAAAAATCAGGAAAATACCATAATGATAAGAAAGAAAAAAACATCATCTGTTAATAATACATATATAAATACAGAAATAAAATTGAATATATCAAAAAAGCGAAAAAGAAATAATTACTCCGGTACATCTAGTCCGGATCAGGACTCTTCCCATCCTGGTCCCTCTTTCCAATATATTGAAGAAAATATAACATTATTTTAATCAAAACCTTCATGTTTTCGTATTCAAGCACCTACAATTGATGAAAATAATGATGAAATCAATTATTTTGGTGAGAATTATAATGTAGATAATATAAATGAGGGGGAAGAGAATGATGATGTAAATAATATGGATGAGGAAGAGAATGATGATGTGGATGAGGGAGAGGAGAATGATGATGTAAATAATATGGATGAGGAAGAGAATGATGATGTGAATGAAGGAGAGGAGAATGATGATGTAGATAATATGGATGAGGAAGAGAATGATGATGTGGATGAAGGAGAGGAGAATGATGATGTAGAAGATTTTTTCGCATCTCCTAAGATTGACAATGACAATGAAGAAGCATTTATAGTGGAAAGCTTAAGTGATTCTATTAATACTGAGATTATAATATGGCTATTTAAATTTCAACAAAGATTTCGATTGCCTGATATTGCACTTGAATCCTTAATAAAATTTTTTCATATAATTCTTATGCGCTTTGATAAGTTGCAATTTGAAAATTTTCCTACCTCATTATATATGGCAAAAATATGGTTAAACATTTTTCAACCGAAAATGCAATTAGCTGCATGTACCGATTGCCATAAATTGCATAATGTTAAAGATATTATTGCATATAAGGAAGAAGGAAAAGTTGCTATAATGAATTGCCCGTATAAAGAGTATCCAAATAATCCAATATCAAGTCGTAATCACCAATGCAATAATCCACTTTCCATTCTCAAAAAAAATAAAGATGCAACAATTGTGGTACCTCGCATGGTTTATCCTAAGCCAAACATTCGTCAGCAATTGAGCATTTTATATCAACGACCAGATTTTGAGAACATGTTAAAATTATCAGGGACTCAAAGAAACGAAAATAATATCTATTCAGATATTTACGATGGTAAGGTATGGAAAAATTTTCCATTTGATGGTAGTACCTTTTTTACAACAGAGACTGCCACAACCCATCTAGGTCTTCTCCTTAATCTTGATTGGTTCCAACCATTCTCCTACACGCAGCATAGTACTGGCGCTATTTATGCGTCTATTTGCAATCTTCCAAGGTCAGAAAGGAATAAGCCCGAAAATATTATATATTTGGGTTTCTTACCAGGACCAAAAGAGGCAGGGTTGGAACGCATTAATCATTATCTAGCTCCTATTGTAGATGAGTTATTAGAACTTTGGAAGGGGTGGAAAGTACCAAAAACTCACCAATTTTCCAATGGTTTAGAAATAAAAGTTGCGTTAATTGTTGGATCATCTGATACTCCAGCTACACGAAAGTTATTTGGTCATGGATCTGCAGTAATGAAATGCTATAGGTGTGATAAACGTACCACTTATAGCGAGGAATTTAGAAAAACTCATTACGGAGGAATGCAAGACTATAATGAATGGGTAACAAAGCCTGCAGATCTTTTATTACATAGACAATATGCTCATGAATGGTTGCAATGTAACTCAAAGTCCTCCAGAGAAGCACATTTTAAAGTACATGGTATAAGATGGACTGAAGTGCTTCGCCTACCATACATGGATCCTATACGATTTGCTGTAGTGGATCCTATGCATTGTCTTTTTCTCGGTGTTGCAAAATGGATAATCAAATCCATTTTTGTAAACCAAAAAAAATTAACTATGGAACAACTTCGTGTAGCACAAAACAGAATGGATAATATTGATTTACCTTCTGACATTGGTAGAATTCCTCCAAAGATTGCAATCGGAAATGATGGGTTTTCTAACTTAACTGCTGATCAATGGAAGACCTTTATTATGATTTATTCTACATCTATATTATGGGATATGCTAGATGATAATGATAGAAAGATCTTAGGGCATTTTGTTCGAGCTTGTAATCTTTTAGTAGCAAGATTTATTACAGATGATGATTTGAAGGAGGCGCAAGAGAGGTTAAAAGATATGGCCTACCTTATAGAATATACATATGGACCAGAATTTATAACAAGCAATATACATCTCGCACTTCATATCCCTGATTGCTGTCGTGATTATGGTCCTATATATAGTTTTTGGCTTTTCCCGTTTGAAAGACTTAATGGATATATAGGTAAATTTACTTCAGTGTCTTTCAATTGTCTTTAGTACCTTTATTAAAAAAATTCCTGTTATTTAGAATCATATCCTAATAGTAACCGACAAATAGAACCCGAATTAATGAAAATTGTTCTTAAAAACACTTTGGTGGATTATCACTTATCATGTAAATGGACATCTGGCCTTCTAGATAAATCTCTCCATCTTCTTATACCAAAAAAAGCTGTAGGAAGTTTAGCAATCACAGCAGAAAGGGAGGAACTGCAGCATTTTCTATTAATGAGACATAATACGTCTATGATTTCCAAAATATATGGCACTGAACCATTACCTGGCCAAATGCTTAACCCATCATATATCAATGTCGTTATGCCTTTAGAGTTGCAAGGATTTCTATGTGAATGGTATGCAATGTTATATAAAAGGGAAAAAGAAGATGGGTTAGGATTTATGGATTTGCATATGAATTAGCATGCAAGACTACAAATTGGCGCCAAAATATTTGGATCTATGATTTCTGGTCGCCATAAAAAAAATGCAAATATATTTGCAAAATGGAAAGCAGCTAATGATGATTCAGTTGACACTTATCCGAGTAAAGTCCAATATTATTTCGAGCATGCCCTTAGATTTTCAGAAGGAACGAAAACTCACCTCCTAGCATATGTCAAGTGGTATAAACCTGCACCTTCTTCTAGTATTCGGTTTAAACATAGTTTTATGGAGCCAAAAATATCAAATACCAAATTATGGAAAGCCGAATACTTTCAAGAAGGTTGTGATTCCCTGTTAGCGGTTCATAGGATATTATGTCGAGCTACAAAATTTAGAAATATTACGATAGGAAAACAAAAATATTTGTCAATTATACCTTTGAATAGAAGATTTAACTTGTAGTATGCCACACCAAATAAAGAAAATGATGACACATTTGATTTCCATTTCAAGCTTAGTGATAATCATGTATAATATAAGCAAGAAGATAGTATGTCTCGTGACTAACCAACAATCATGCCGGTTGACCTGTGGCTGTATTATGACATCGGCCAATCAATTATGGCTAACATCTTTAATTTATTCTGGTTTAACTTACTGCAATGTAAAAAAAAGTCTCTCTCTCTATTTATTTTATTATTTTTGATATCACTAAACTTTCTTTTAACTTTCTTTTAGTTTTCTTGGATTTTGAACCTTTCAATTTCACTCATTTTAAAATTTATAAAGTTAAGTATTAATTTAACTTACTGATATTTGATGATTGTGAAAATTTTATTTTACTGATAGTAAGCTTTCATTACTATTATTTTTTTAGCTTCAACTTTTTCCATCTCTAACTTTAACAAACAAAAGCTAAGTAATTTATATATTTTTTAATTAATTTCATTTATTTACAAAATTCAGAAACTAATAATAATTTAATTTTTTTTTTCAGAGTAACTTTAATAATTAACTTTTTTGTTAGTTACAACTTTTCAAACTCCAATGTATTTATATTAATATTTATACGGGAAAACGTCATCCTCGGCAAAATGAAGAAGTCTAAACGAGACTTGGAGTCTTCCTTCTTCTAAATCGTTATTATAAAATAAATTTATGTTGATAAGGCATATTTCTAAGTCATTGTAACAAGTATGGATTAAAGTGCCATAATAGTGATAACACTAAGCTTGTACTCTGACAAAGTTACTCTGCCCAGTCCATAAAAAACTTTTCAGTACGTTGAAAGGTTATATGGAATACGTACATTCTTCTGCCCTTCTAAACAGGGATCAGGATATATAACTTGATAACTTGTCTATATCGAAATATATGTTTGAACGGGCTATACTTTCCTGTAATCTTAGATTATAATAAGAAGCAAGATTAAACCTTTTTTCGAATCCCCCTTAAATAAAGGGAAAAGACGCTAAAAGAGGTTTTTTATGTTTTTTTACTAAAAAAAACAAACTATATTATTACTGTTTAATACCTAAGAATTCTTAAATATAATTATTAAAGTAAGTAATTTTTATTTAAAAAGAGAGAGATTTTTTTATAATATCAATTTAATATCCAAATTGGTGCTGAAATATTTGGATCTATGATTTCGGGTCATCAAGAAAAAAATGTAACTATTCTTGCAAAATGGAAAGCGTCTAATGATGAGTCAATTGATATATACCTGGGAAATGTCCAATATTATTTTGAACATACACTTAGATTACCTGAAGGACCAAGAAAACATCTTCTAGCATATGTTAAGTGGTATAAAAGTGCACCTTCCTCTGATATTTGGTTTAAACATGGATTTATTGAACCAGAGATCTCAAATACCGAACTATGGCAAGCTGAATACTTTTAGGAAGGTTGTGACTCAATAATAGCTGTTCATAGAATACTATGTAGAGCTACAAAATTCAAAAGTGTGTGCATAGGAAAAAGAAAATATTTGTCAATAATACCATTAAATAGAAAATTTAATTTATAGATTTCTTTAAAAATTAACATTTCATTGTATTACATTCGATAAATAAAGGTAATACGGTCATACAGAATACAACAATAAAATTACCTTTTATAATAATTAAAATTGATCATCACACCAAAATCATAAATTGCTAAATTTGTTAAGTGACAATATTAAATTTTGCTCGTAGACAAAGTCAAAATTAACCTTATATAGAATAAAGATCTACCGATAATTAATTCGCGATTACTATTTAATTATGTAAACACAAATTTTTACAATTACTTTACAATTAAAATTGATTGTATACAAATCATGTACGAAATACATTAACATTATTAAATAACAATCATTGGTATCATACCGCACCAATAATCGGTCAGTGTCGGTCATAATTGTATTTGTAAAAAAATAAAATTTAAACAAAGACTGATTTAATAAATTTATAAATTTTTTTCTCATGACGTTCACTCAACTTGCAAGGAGAATATTTAATTTATTTACGCTAGATATATTATAGTTCTTAAAATTGTTTTCTGTATAATGAATTTAATGATATAATACTTGTATCATTTAATTGTGTAATACCTGTATCAATCAAACATATCAATTTATTGATTACTTTAAAACTGATTTTTTTAAGAGTATACAAAATTATTTCTCTGATTCGTAATACAGAAATAATAGAAATAATCACAATTAAGATCAAATCATATTATAATTATGCACAGAAAAGTGGTATATTTTTTTACATAAATAAGGCAATTATCGAATTTTTTTTATTTATCTTTTAACCCAAGTTTTCATTATAATAAATCAATTTTTTAACCCAATTTTTCATCATAATAAATCAATTCTTCATCTATAATAAATAATCATTTTTTTATTTTTTTATTTAATTTTATTTTTTTATTGATTTTATTTTTTTTGTTAATTTAATTTTATTTTTTTTTGTTAATTTTATTTTTTTTGTTAATTTTATTTTTTTTTGTTAATTTTATTTTTTTTTGTTAATTTTATTTTTTTTTTATTAATTTTATTTTAATGGCCAATCCTAATATTTTAAACGTCAACATAAATAATGTACTTTTAAACTGGCCATTTAATGCCACCAGGGCATTAATTAGGTAAATTTGTATAAATCAGGACCCCGGATATCTCCAAAACAGGTCATAAGTCACACTTTCGGCAGATTGGCCCATTTTTCAGGGGCTCAAAAAATCGTTTTTTGTAAATATCTCGGCATCCAGTAGTCCAATTTTGATGAACTTTTTTTTAAATTGTAGAGCTAAATGAGAGCTACAAAATAAAAAAAGTTCATTAAAATTAAATTACTGGATGCTGAGATATTTACAAAAAACGATTTTTTGAGTTTCAGCAAAAAGGGGTGTTTTTGGCCAAAAGTCCATTATGACCTTTATATTAGATATCCAGGGTCCTTATAAATCTTACAAAAAAAAAATGGAAAGTTAAAATGATAACTTTATTTATACTAATTAGATACCGCCGCCTATATCATAATGTCTTTGAGGATCGATCGATCCGTGATCATTCAATTATATGGGCAAAAATTGCGGCGAGAATAAGCAATAATTATAATTTTATCGTTACCCAAAATCAATGCCGCAATAAGTGGCAGGCATTGAAGAGAGGTGAATCTTTTACCATTTGTAATTAATTTGTGAATATTAGTAAATACTTTATTAATATATTTAATTAATAATAGGTTTCGAAAATTTGACTAGGATTAATAATGGTTTGTATATTTGAGGTTAACGTTAAATTTCTTAACCAATTCACATAAAACCAATTTTATTTATTTTAGGGAATCCTGATGGTCACCCGATCCACTCTACCAACAATTACGATATTCGCTTTTTTAATGAATTAAGAGATGAATTCTGGCTGCAAACTAGTAATTGATTCGATCTTAATTATGATACTTTGTATATATTACTGATTCATTAAATTTATATTTACATTTTTTTTTTTTTATTTTAGACAGGTTACGCAGGGCGTACCTGCAGCAGAGAGTGGATCAACGGACCTATATGTATAGGGAATGACGCCGGCGTCGTTCCCGAAGCCGTAGCAGCAGCAGCAACAGCAGTAGCAGCAGCAGCAGCGATCGGAGGAGGAGAAGAAAAAATAGAAGAAGAAGAAATAGAAGAAGAAGAAATAGGAATTAAGGTAAATACTAATTAATCATGAATTTATAATTAGATGGATATATATCACTAATGCGTAAAACTATAATCTTATTCCATAAATTTTACGAAAAATAGACCCTCCCTTTTTTTTCGTTTTCCCTTCTCTTCCCTTCCCTTCTTCTTCCCTTTCCCCTTCCCTTTCATTTTCCTTTTTACCTTTCGTTCTCCCCTTTACCTTTCTTTCTCCCTTCCCCTTCCCCTTCTTTTTCGTTTTCCCCTTTACCTTTCGTTCTCCCTTCCCCTTCCCCTTCTCTTTCGTTTTTCCCTTTACCTTTCGTTCTCCCTTCCCCTTCCTCTTACCCTTTCCCTTACTGGAATCGTCATTTTTAATCTTTTATTTTAGTTTATTATTTTTATTATATTTTTTATTATAATAATAAACAATATTCTTATATCAAATTTTCTTTATTTTTTAATATAATATTGTTAATTGGTTTTTGATTTTTGGCTTATAAAAAACAACTGATAAACATAAAAGCTATGCGGGCAAACAAAAATGATAATCCTTAATCTTCATTATTATGGCCATCTAGAATCTATATAATTAAAACGTTTAGTCTGTATAAATAAATTATAATTGCGAGCCATCGCCCGTGATCTATTATAAGCTTATTAATCAATTAATACCCAATAATCATCATTGTTATTGATATATATTAACCAATTAGGATCATTATGATTACATGCATGTGATATCTAAAAATAGATAAAATCGTGTGATTGTTTTTTGTTTATTTTCAATTTTTTTCTTATTAAAACTTACAAAGTAATAAAAAAAATGTACCCACCAACTCATTCAAAAGAAAAGAATAAAAGAAAGGAAATAATATGC